ACCAAACAGTTTGTCGTAACTCGATCTATTCGTAAGTCGGACCCCATTCATTTAAATGTGACCGCGTTTGTAACTCGGGGACCGGCTTAATGGGAGGTTGGTCGTAAGGATGAACGGTCATTAGTCGATGCGTTCGTAACTCGGGGACCGCCTGTACTTTGGATAAAGGATAAGCATGTCCTTGGAACAGCAGTTCTATTGAATTACCTTCAGTAATTATCTCAAGCACTGCCATTTTCTGAGGTGCCTCACTGCCTGATGGGTTCCTCAAAAGAGAGGGATCTGCCCAGGTTTTGGAACCTCAAGATCAGAAGAAACTGTTGGTGTTGGATACAGGGATGTAAAATCCCATTTAATAGGTTAACTGCTTAAACATAGTGTTTAACTGGTTAACCAATTAAAGATGGGGTGGGCAGGGGGGTTGCTCCAGCCTGGCTGGCCTACAGGCACTACAGGGCCAGAGCAGCCCCCTGCCGCAGCAGGCAGGGAGCTGCTCCAGCTCCCACCAGTTAACCTTTCACATCCCTAGTTGGATAGTTTCCCAGAGAATATCACAATTGGTCTTCCAACTCAGGCAGCAATGGCCTCCTTCCTGGTGTGTAACAAACTGCTTTGAAGATTCTTTCGCTGGAGGGAGATATAACTAGGTCCCATTGATTATACTCATTCCACTAAGTTTCTATGATGCATATTATATCAATATCCTCATTTACAGGACTTGACAAACCACAGCGAGAGCTACTCGCCAGCCCCACACCGCGCATTCGCCAGACTGGCACTGCACATGTGCGCAGCGCCGGTGAATGGGGCACACGGAGCGACCAGCTGAAATCTACTCACCACAGGCGAGTAGAATCAGCACTTTGCCAAGCCCTGCTCATTTAATACGAGACACACCCTGCTCACCCATTTTATCATTTAGTCTTCTAGCATTTGTACATAAGCACTTTAAAAACTTATCACTTTCTAGCTATCTGCCATTATCTGATGTACTTGAATGAGACTCCTTTTCATTTGACTGTTTCTTATCAGATCTTACCTACCAAAAAAGATGTACAGGCAGCCTCTGACTTGCAACACGATCGGTTCCTGGGGAACCGTCGCAAGTCGGGGGTGTCGTAACTTGAACCCTCATTTACGATAGGCGTCACGTGTCCTCGCAAATGCGAGCCGAAAATGGCTGTAAGTGTGGGAGGGGTCACCACTCGGGGGTTTCCTGAATTTTATCATCTTCCATCCTCTCCTCTTCAGGATGACAGAATTCTCCATTAATAGATCCTCCTCTAGGGAATGTCTCTGCCTATACTACATGCTCCTCTGCACCTGTCAGCTTTCTCCCAGCCCTTAGTTTAAAAACTGCTCTACAACCTTTTTAATTGTAAGTACCAGCAATCCGGTTCCATTTTGGTTTAGTTGGAGCCCATCTTTCTTGTATACGCTTGCCCCTTTCCCAAAAGTTTCCCCAGTTCTGAATAAATCTAACCCCCTTCTCTCTACCTCTCAGTCTCATCTACACATTGAGACCCTGCAGTTAGAATCATGGAAGCACAGAATACTAGAACCGAAAGGGACCTCAAAAGGTCATCAAGTCCAGTTTCCTGTCCTTACAGCAAAAGCAAGCACCATCTAGATCCTTCTGACAGATGTTTATCTAACCTGCTGCTGACAGATGTTTATCTAACCTGCTCTTAAATATCTCCAATGATGGAGATTCCACAGCCTAGCAGGCTTCTAGGCTCAGCACATGGTCCCTCCAACAAACCAACCACACAGTATCTTTCAGTCAAGCAGCAAGCACACCACAAACACAAACACACCCCCAAGAAGTCTTGCAAAGATGACAAAGACAAGCCTGCTAGTCATGTGCATTACCAAAGCCTGCTAACTTTCTGAATTTATTTAGAGAAATAGGAGATATAAAAACAAAGAAGTAAACCACGAAAAGAGTATTAAACTGTACAAAATGTACAACAGTTTGATCTCAAAACCCCATTTTAACATGCTCCTTAATGAGTTTTTAAACCTCTTTCCTCACCTGTATAATTATTTAGCAAACAATGACATACAGAACAGCATGTTAAAGAACAGGATCTCACATAAATAAACCTAGAGTAGACAAGATGATTCAGGGAGTTGTGAATGTTGTTAGTCTAATCCACTTTAGATCAATAGAGATTAGAAGTCAGTGCTATCTGACAGCAGTCTGGTGACCTGTGTGAAATGTATTAACACAGTGGTCCCCAACCTTTAGAGGCTGCCGGGTACCAGGGGGCGTGGCCGTTCGCCCACCGGGCGCCAGAGGGCGGGGACACTTGCACGCCCGGGGGCAGGGCCCCCCCATAGCCGCGTGCCCAGGGGCAGGACCCCCCCATGTGCCATGTGCCTGGGGGCGGCGCCCCACCCCCAAGCACTCTGCACCCCCTCCAAGCCCCGCACTCGCTCCCCCCCAAGTGCCGCGCGCCCAGAGCCTCGGCA